ACCACCACCCCTTTCAGGAAATAAATAAAGATTTCAGACAATAACTGACAAGGTTCAAGGAAACTCCTCTCTTGAAAATGCCACAAGTGCCAATGGGTGAAGCAGCTGGCTCCAGGCTCCTCCTCCCGAGCAGGACTATAAACGTGGGATTTACCAGGAAATGAGAGGGACAAGAGCGTCCTCCCATTGAGCCGAAGTGTCACCAAAGCAGGTAAATCCCAGCTGCAGAGGCAGAAGTGAGGCAGTGGTGGTTTTCTTGGATGCTTTTCTTGAATACCTTCAGTGTTTGGGTGTTTGGCTGAGCCTTTCCCAGCTCTCCTTCTCCATCTCCAGCTCTGCTGGGTCACTGAGCTGGGAGTTCACCCTGGAGCTTCCAGGGAACACCGGGAGCCTTTTTTCCCAAAGCAATGTTTGGATTCTGGGAGAACGCCACGGCTGTCTGCTTTGTCCTGCAGCGGAACATGGGGACATTTATTACTTTGGGCAGAATAACAGCCTGGTGGGACACACCTTTATTTAAAATCAGATTTTTTACTAACCCCCCATGCAGACCTTTGTTGTAGCAATGTATCCCTGGCAATTCCAGAGGAGAGGCAGGGTTGTGATGTGAAATCCAGCTGTGTGCTGTGGCTGTGCACTGTTCATCTTGCTGTGTGCTAATCCAAAATGAGTTTTGTTCTCTTTCCATGTTTGCCTGGAGAGGGGCAGCGTTTCCTCAGAGCTCTGTAAATGTTTGTTCTCACTAACAAGGTGGGATGGAGAACTGATGGCAAGATGCCACTGGGGATGGGTGAAATGGGATGGTTTGGTGTTTGCCGATGTGTCCCAAGGCGTGGGGAGCCCTCCTGGAGACAGAACTCTTGTGCCCTGGAATATCCTTGTTGATATCGCTCATGGAGAAGCAGCAGCGGCTGTCAGAGGCACGGGGTGACTCCAGACAGCCCGGTGGAAATGGGATGAGATGGGAATGACCTTTACTGGAAGGGGGTGAAGGGAAGCTGCTGTGAGGACAGCAGGCAGGGGAGGAAGCGGTGTCCAGAGCCTGTCCCGGGCTGCTCCGAGGTCACCGGGGGACGAGAGCCAGGAGGGAGGGAGGGAGGGAGGACCTCGCACTGCCCCAGGGTGAGGGATGCCGGGGGCAAGCAGGGAGAGGAGAGAAGGTGGAGGGGCCAGGATGAGGGAGGGTGTGGCTTTGGCTTTGCCCTGGCTGCACGAGGGATTTGAGCAAGGGAAGGATCATCCCGGGCTGCCCCATCCCTCCGGGAGATGCAGCTCTCTGCTCCAGGTGTCTCCTGAGCACGGGGACATCTCCATCCCGCGATTTCCTGGACAGAGGCTGTGCCGCTGGTCCCGGGGTGTGCAGAGAGCTGCTAATCCCACCTGGGAGAGAGGGATTTTCCACCTGCTCCCCTGCCTCCTGCCCCGTCCCGCGTTATCCTGTCGCACCACCGGGGCTCTGTGGTGCGTGCGGACAAACGGGTCCTTAAGGACAGTGACAGCACCCATGGGTGGGGTTATCCCGGGGCCAAACCAGGGCATTTTTGATCAGGAAACCCTCCTGGGGGTTCCCTTGCTGAGCCTCGTTTTTCCAGGCTTGCTGCAGCCCTCGGCGTTCTGGTGCTGCTGCTCCTGAGACAACACCAGGGGCATTTTCCTGGTTTGATGTGTCCTGATCTTGCAGGAAACTGAGGCAGGGACAATGCCCAGAGGTGAACTAGTCCCAGGGCAGGGAGCAGGAGTCTGGGTTGGTGTGTGGGTGTGAGCAGTGGGTTCAACTGCGGCTGCTTCCAACCCCAATCCCTCCTTTTCCTCCTCCTTTTCCATATCTCGGGCTGAATCCTCTCACATCCTTCCCCTTCACGCCTCCTTAGCCTGACAGCAGGTTCTGGTGTTTGTCTTCCTCCCTCCTCCCATGTCTGCACGGGAAGAAGAGGAAAACATCCCTGTGAGTTGTGTCTCCATCCCTCCCCAGTCACAGCTCTTTGCTGCGGGCCTGTTATGCAGAAAACACCAAGAGAATGAGCTCTGGCAAATTAAAAACCACTGCTGGGAGCCAAGGAGTCACCAGGCCAGCCCATCTCCCTCCCAAATCCCAGCTCACCCTCTTCCCTGGACCTGCTCCAAGCAGGGGCTCTGAGCGTGTCTTTGAGCCACTGCCTGGGCTGTTTCAGGGCAAAACATCTGGAGGAGCTTAATTTTGTGGCTCATTTCCAAGTGCAACCATTTAAACCAGACTGCTTCTCTGTGCAGAAGTGTCATTTAAAATAATAAAAGAGGCAAAATCGTGGAATCCACAGGCTCAGCTCTGCCCAAGGGCACAGGGTTCCTTGGGACCCCCTTAGAGGCAGTGCCTTGATGGGAAAAGGGAGTATTCCTCCCTGGGAACTGGGATTTGGTGCATCTCCCCCTCCCAAAGCCAAAATCCCGACCTTTAGCACAACCAAGCAATTGAATAATTCATTGTTCCCCAAGCTTTGCTTGGAGGTTTTTAGCCTTTCCTTATTTGATGAGAGTTGATGTTGCCAAAGCAGTTTGGAGCTGTCAGAGTCAATTTATCCCTCATCCTTCTTCCTTCGGGGAAGTGACATCCTTCAGAATAAATGGAGAGAGGAAAACACGGGTTTTTTAGCAGAACAAGAGAGTCCAGAGGGTACTGATGTTTGCAAAATGTAAATTTGTGCTGAGGATTTGTAGGGATCCTGGGATTTAGGTTCATTATTATTCCCATATTATTTTTCTTTGGGTGGTGCTCCTTCCCTCCTCCTCCTCACTCCCCCTAACAATAGTGGAGCTTTGCTCCCTTTCCAAAGGGCTCTTTGGAATGGCTGAGTGCAGAATACATCACCTTCTCCCTTTCCAGCTTTTTTACCTCACCAAATATTCTAAAAATACCCAAATAACAAGAACATTGCTGTCTTATTTTCATCTTTGTTTCCCAACAAAAGCCTCCAGAGAGAAAACTTCAGCTCCTGGTACCCAGGAGTGCCGAGGAGTGGAAACGTGGGGGCTGCCTGCAAACAGACGAGTTCATGGGAGAAATATGAAGGGTTTGAAAATAGCCTATTTAGTCACTGGGGTTTCAAGAAAGGGATGGAGCTGGAAAATTCCATCTGGAAGGGAGACTGTGTGTGTGTGTGTGCACCGTGCCTGCCCTGTTTGTCTGCAACAGTGGATAAGAAACGTCCTGGAACGGCTCAAAAATACCTTGTGGGTTTCGTCTGGATGTTTGTTGGTTTGTGTTGGGTTATTCACGCCTCTCCATCTCCAGCAGCCTGGAGAAGAGGGGACAGCAACCATCACCACCACCTGCAGCGCTTTGGGGCACCTAAACATGTTTTTGCCAGGAATCCTGCTCGCCTAAATAGGTTGTGTGTGTTTTTTCTGGATAGGGCTGCGGAAAGTAGGCACCTCAAGTGGTGCTTTGAATCGAGCCTTTGTCTGCAGCGAGGAACATGGAAACACCTGAGCCTGTCACCAGCTTGTCGCTGCTCGGGGCAGGGGCACGGCTCTGCAGCTTGGCTGGGTGCCCCAGCCCGGCGCAGACGCCGCTGCCGGGGAGGTTGTGGGGGCGAGGGCCGACTCTGCTGTTTTGTCTGGAAGGGCCATGGCGAGCGCCGAAGGTTTTGCCGCCGTCTTCTACAGCGAGCCAGGGGTGCTGGGGCTGCTCGGCAACGTGGTCAGTGCCTTCCTCCTGTGCCTGCAGAACTTCACCGTGGCCACCACTGGCCTCGGGCCTCGGGTGGCAGAGCAGATCCTGGCAGGTGGGTGCTGCTGCTCAGGGTGGGGCTGAACGTCCCCTGAGCTCTTTGAGGGTCATCCCCAGGGGCCAATGGACACCACTGGTGGGACGGTGGGGAAATGTGGGTTGTGTCCACTGTGAAGGTCTGCGTGCTCCTGGGGGTGGCTGCTCCTCCTTCCCCAGCCACCGGGCCAAATGTTCCACGTGCCATTCCCTGCTGGATCCAAGCTGTCCTTGGGGCCTGCTCACCCCACCGAGCCAAGGGGCCACACACAGAAATTTCCCTTTAGGGTGGGAGGAGGCCACAGGGCTGCTCACTGGAAGGCCACGGGACCTGCCATGGGGTGTGCCCTAGAACTTCCTGCAGCTCCAGCCCTTTTGTGCTTGGCTTCACACCTGACCCCTTCCTGCATCCCTCAGGCATCCACCTCATCCTGATCGGTGGCTTTGTCCAGCTCCTGGCCGGATTTCTCGCCTTCCGCAAGTATGACCACCTGGGAGGCGCGGCCTTCCTCACCTTCTCTGCTCTGTGGAGCAGCTATGGGGTCACACGGGTCCTGTCCGCCGCGTATCCCGAGAACACAACGCTTCCCTCCGGGAATGCCAGCCAGCTCCTGGACGCCGGCACAGCCCCACTCTCGGCCAGCCAGAGCGCCGTGGCCGGGCTGGTGGCCTACATCGCCATCTCCTTAATCCTGTCCTTCTGCTCAGCCACCGTCAACTACATCATGCCCTTCATCTTCGGGGCCATCACACTGGCCCTGGCCTTCGAGGCGGTGGCGCTCTTCACGGACTGGGCCCTGGTGGTGTCCGGGGTGCTGGAGCTGGGCATTGTCCTGTGCGGGCTGTACGGGGCCGTGGCTCTGCTGCTCAAGGGCATCACCCAGAGGTACGTCCTGCCCGGCTTTGGGCACCCCCTCTTTAATGTCCTGCTGCTGGGCTCGGCGCAGAAAAGCTCCTCCAAGGCCCTCGGGGAAGAAAAGAAGAAGAACACAAAGTACGCGGAGCCGATGGCCCTGGGGAACATCTGCGACACCGTGTCACCCTTCATATTCGCCTTTTACTTCTTTGGGTACATGAAGACTTTCTGCGTGGGAGCAGCATGGATATCCATCATCTCCAGCTGCCAGCTGCTCTCCAGCTTCTACAGCTACCTCAGAGGGGATGGCTACCACACCACCAAGTTTGGTGTCCACAGCCTCTTCTGGCTGGTGATGTCCTGGGAGGAGTTTGTGCTCACCGCCTTCCTCGGCCTGCCCATGGCTCAGGACAGCAGGCTGGGAATGTTTGGAGCCTGGTTCTTCCTGGCCACTGCCTGCCTGCTCTTTCTGATGTCGATCCACAAAGACACCCTGGAGATGCTGCAGAACGCCTCCTTCATCGTCCTCACCTCAGCCTTCGTCCACCAGATCCCTCTGTCCGGCGCCCGGCCCTTCCTGGGGGCCGCCTGCAGCCTCTGCACCGCGCTCTCCCTGTACGCCACCTTCGCCAGCCTCATCAACTCCATCGGGGAGAAGGTTCTGATTCCCGTGGGCCCCCAGGCCGTGTCCAGCTCAGCTCTCCAAGCCGTGCTGGGGGCTCTCAAGGCCCGGCTCTCGAGGTCCAAGGACGTGCCCAGCGGCACCGGCGCTGCCGTGCCGGACGCTTTGTTCTACATCTGCAATGGCCTGGCTGCGGCCGCCGCCATCCAGGACAGGCTCGGTGAGCCGGGCAGGCAGCAGCTCTCCATCCCCTCTGTGCTCATCCCGGGAGCCCTGGGGCAGCTGTTCGTGTGCCGGATCCAGGTGCGGGGCGGGAAGAGGTTCGGATCCGTGCTCCCCTTCTGCTACGCTGTCTTCTGGGGAGCCTGGACCTGGCTGCGCCTGGCAGGTAAAGCAGGGGATGGTTCCTGCTTTAAAGGGTGTCCCCAGGGAATCCTCCAGTGCTTCCTCCAGTGGAATTCCTTCTGTCAGGAGAGTCAGAGACATCAGGGTTACTGATATTCCTCCCTGGAAAAAGATAATTCACAAATCACCCCAGTTTGCTCTCGGCTGCCATTGCTGCAGGCACTTGGTGCTCTCGGTTCCAGGAGTCCAAATTGTGTCATCAGCTCCAATAAAAGCCAAGATTTCCCTGCAAAAACTTTGTGAGACAGGCCTGGCTCTGGGCCGTTATCTCAGAATAACAACTCAGGAGATGCTTTTAGGCAGTGGGAGACTCCAGGTTCTGGATTTCTCCTTCGGGAGCCTGCAGAAGTCTATCCCAGCCATGAAAGAAGCTCTCAGAAGCTGAGCCTGGTTTTTAAAAGCTGCATTTTGTTCCAGGTGGGCAGAGTGTCCACACAGCCTCCGTGCCAGGCGCTCTTAAAATGAGCATCTGTGGGGAAAGTTAAAGCTGTGGCTCTGGACGTGTGGCAGGAGCTTCTCAAGCGTCCAGCCAGGCCCTGAGTATTCCAAGCTGGAGGTAAAACTCAGAGCTTTTTTTGGATAACCGTCGCCAGCCCCACAGTTAATACCTGAAACGCTTAGCGTGGCAGAAGCGGCGGGTGTCGATGAGGGAGGGTTTTTGGGAGGCCACCATCCACCAGCTGGAGCTGTGGTCATCCCAGCTGAGGCTCTGCCACTCTCCTGTCACGCTGCTCCTCGTGGTTTGCTCATAACCAGATGTGCTGCTCCTGTTTCAGGCCACTTGCTGGACATCGGGGCGGGGAACACCGAGGGATTCACGGCCGGCTCCATCGCCTTCTTGGTGCTCAATGCTTTTTTAGTCATTCTGGGTGAGTCCCAGAATCACGTGGAGTGTTTATGGAGGGGTGTCTGGGGTCAGATGGTGAATCCTCCTGTGGTTGCTCCGTGGAGGAGATGCACCAGTGAGGGAGGCCTGTCGCTCTGATTAAGCAAGAACGGAGATGTTTTGCCCACAGCCAGTAACAGAAGCTGAGCTGGGCTTAGGAGAAACAGCCCCAAGGGAATGGAAGAACATTTCAAAGAAAATAAAAGGATCAAATCAGGTGAAAGCGTTCTATGCTCTGGGCCACTGGCATCAATCCACAGCCACACTCCAGCCCAGCTGGTGTAAATCAGAACCTGCTTGGCTGCTGGGGAAGTGTTTTCCATGTGAGCACAGTGTCCTGGCAGATCAAGGGTTTGGCAGAATGTCCGTGGAACCTGAGGGCTGAGCCGACCCTGGCTGTGCCTCTTTGTTCCTCCACGGACAGGGAAATCAGAGCTGGGGCTGCTCAGTTAAATCAAACAAGCCTCAGTTGATTTAGGAACTCTTCTGCTGGTTCATGGACGTTTTATGGGCTGTGATTGATGTGGGTCCCTCTTGTTTGTGTTTCTTTCCACAGCTTCCTCTTTTAACATGGTGCTGCTCTGCCTGACCTTGGCCATGGAGCTCTTGACCATTTGTTTTCTGCTCTTTACAGTGGAGAACCTCCCTTTGCCTTTTGAAAGTGAGTTTTAGGGGAACCAGGACATTGAACCTTCACCTTCAGGGTGCAGGGAGTAGGTCCTGGGTTGGGGAGCAGTGTGGGAAGCTCAGTGTGACAAAATCAAGCAGAGCATTCCTGCTTCCTTTCCCTGGAAGTCTGGGGTGTGTGCAAGCATGACTAGAGGAGGAAATCTTTCCTCTTATCACACCCAGGGCCTTGAGCTTCCAAATAAACCCAATGCTGCTGGATCAGAGCATCTCTAGAGGTTCTGTCCATCTCTAGTCCCCAGCAGATGTTCCCTGAGGTGTGGGATGAGCTGAACGTGCCACCACTGTCAGTGGCTGCAGTTCTGCTGAAGCTCTGCCTTTGCTGCAAGTGACAATTTCAGTTTTAATTCCATGGGGTGCTGCAGCAAGCGGATTAGTGGGAGCTTTTCCACTTTGTCACCACAGAGTAGAATCACAGCACCATGAAATCCAAGCGAGCGAGTCCGGCCATTCCCACGGCACTGACAAACCCTGTCCCCAAGTGCCACATCCACGCTGTCAAATCCCCTCCAGGGATGGGGATTCAATCACCCTTCCTGCCTCTGACTCTGGGGTTTTTTTCCAGTTGTTGTGTTGAGCATTGTCAGCGTCATCTGCTTCTATGGAGCCACAGCCTCGCTCACCAACTGCATGTTTGGGAAGGACCTCCTGATGGTGGGACCTCCTCTGCTCACAGTAAGAGATGCTTGGCACGCTGGGGTAGCTTCCCTGCTCAGAGGGGATATTCTGGGGCCTTCAAATTCCTGTGGAATTTCCCTTCTGCTGAATCCTTTAGCGCTGTTCGAAGTCCCGGTCACAGCACTTTTGTAGGGAGATGTGAGCTGGAAACGAGCTCTCTTCCATCAGGAATAACATCGGAGAAAGGGCAGGGATGCTCACAGGACTCCTCTAGCGCCCCAAAACAGCTGTCTCTGTGCTCCTGGGGAATCAGCCATCCCCAGTCTAAGAATTCCTCATAGACTGGAGTTTTAAAGCCATAACCTTGGGAGCAGGGAGTTTAAAAAGTTTCCCAGACTGGACAGCAAGAATTCCCCATCTTTTCTTGACTTCAGACTCCTTCTGCTATCTGGTGTGTGTGGCCAGGGCAATTCCCCCTACCCAGGGTGATGGATCTGACAGCTCTGACTCCTTCTGCAGAGAAACATTTCCATTAGATCAGCATTTCATGGGAATGCACTTGAAACTCCATCCCTGCCTGGATTTGGGATTCCAGAAGAAATTCCTTAGGTCATTTTGGAGAGCAGCCATTTCTCCAGGAAGCTGTGCTGGGTGGGATTCATCTCCTCTAATTTTAGGCATCGACAGTTGAGAGAGTTGAGTTGAGAGCTGCTCTCTTTGGCTTTAATCACTGGAATTCACCTCCCCTGCTGCGGAAGAAGAGTCCCTGGAGGTGCTTCTCTCCAAGGGATCGTGGCACGGTGGATGCAATTCTGCCTTGTGTTCCATAGGTTCGCTTACTCCTTGTCTCCTGATTCCTGGCAGGTCCAGAGCTCCAAGGAGGACAGGGAGGATCCCCTGCCCTGTGTCTGCCCCAGGTCCCATCTCACGAGCGGCCTGAGGACCATCGCGGAGCTGCTGAACACGGGGGCCGTGTGCGGGGTCCCCACAGACACCGTGTACGCCCTGGCAGCCTCCTGCAAGCACCCCGAAGCCATCGAGAAGGTCTACAGGATCAAGGTGGGAACTCAGGGATGTCTCTGCTTACCTGGCTCTGTGTCCTGCCCATGAGCTCGTGCAGGAGAAGGAAGGGGAGCCGTTGGTTTCAGGTTGTCCCAAAACTCAGGAGGTGGCCATGGGCAGAGCTCATGAGCAATCACAACAGAAGATCAGGGACAATTTTCTGAGCAAGGCAGGGCACAGCCCCTCTGCTCCAGGCTGGAGCACCGGGAGTTGGGCAGTGACATCCCTGGGGATGGACAAAGCACAGCCCCAAACAGGAACAGCCGCTCATCAGCGGGTCCAGACCTGTGTTTGTCCTCTGTGCCCCACAAAGTGCTGAATCAGAATCCCAGGGCTACATCCCCCCAGACTTTTGGAGCCATTCAGTGCTGGAACCAGCCCCAGAGTTTGCACCTTCAATCCAGCTTTTGCAGCCTGGCCCTGTCTGTTGTCCATGAGGCAATTTCCTGGCTAGCCTGGAGAAATAACCATAACAGACGATCTCAGCTGGCCCCGGGCGCGAGCAGCGGCACAAAGGCCGTCTCTTCTGTGCTGCCCTGGTGCCAGTGCTGACCTTCCCTGCCGATGAGAGAATACAAACAGAATGTAAATACATGCCCAGTTCCTGAGTCATTTGGCCCCACTGAAGCTGATGTCAGTTGAGGACTGAAATGACACCGCTTTGCGAGCTTGTTTTATTTCCCCTCCATCTCCACTGCTGGTTTTACACGGAATTTATTTCACTCAGCTTCTTCCAAAGCGCTGGAGGGGTGATAATGGAGATGTTGGTTTGCAGGGGGCTGAGCTCTCCATCCCTTATCCCATCACAAATTGGTGTTTGACTTCCCAGAAGTTTGGAAAAAATCAGGCCCTTGGTGTGTAAGATCCCAGAAATGCTGATACTGAGTGGAACATCGCTGTCCCTGTGATGGATGTGCTTGAAGAGGGATGCAGCCCAGAAGTTCCCAAGGGCAGGCCGCTGCTCTGTCTCCTTTTTAATTTGCACGTGCAGATCCAAGCTGGGGCATCCATCACAGCTCAGCACTCGTGCAGACGCAGCATCTTCCTCGCCTGGAGCTCCCTGAGAAACACACAAACCAGGGTCCCAGCAGGCTTCGAGGTTCTCCAGGCAAACTTTCTCTCTTCATCTATTTTCCCCCTGTTTTTTTTCAGGACAGGCCTCAAGAGAAGCCCATCTGCATCTTCATTTCCAACCTGGAGCAGTTGCGAGCAGCTGCTCCGCCCATCAGCCCCCTGCTCTGGGAATTCATGGAAAATGTTTATCCCGGCGGCATCGGCTGCATTATCCGAAAGGGAGAGTGGCTGAAGAAGTTGGGTGAGATGAGCAGCACGACCCTCCTGTCCCCCTTTCATTTTTCCAGCATGGCAGGTGTGCAATCCCAGCCCCCTTTGGGATGTGATGGGGAGAGATTCCGGTCACTTTCTCCCAAGAAATGCCCCCTGGAGCTCCCAGATGCTTTGGTGGGTGTTGAGCAGAGTGCATTATCCATCTGTAATGACTCATCAAGAGTGGGAGCCAGCAGAATGAGCTCTTTGACCAGAAACAAGGGAGGCTCCTCGGCCTGGGAGGGTCCCCTCTCCCAAGCCCCCCGCTGCTGACTGGGAATGAGCAAACCAGGGTGGAGCATCCAGGAGATGAGAGGGTTCCGATGGTCATCCCTGCTCATTGCCTCTGCCTTCCCACCCCGTGGGCACGGGCACTGGTGAGCGCTGGGATGATTCACCTCAACCCTGGCTCCTGGGAATCCATGGAAACAGCACGGAATGAGGGAACTGGAGGGGCTGGAAAACAAATCCTGAGCTGGGACAGGGGCTCAGCCTGGAGAAAAGGAGGCTCAGGGGGAATTTCTGGCTCTGCACAACTCCCTGACAGGAGGGGACAGCCAGGGGGGGTCAGGCTCTGCTCCCAGGGAACAGGGACAGGAGGAGAGGACACAGCCTTAATCTGCACCAGGGGAGGTTTAGATTGGACATTAGGAAAAAAATCTTCACAGAAAGGGTGATTGGACATTGGCAGGGGCTGCCCCGGGAGGCGGTGGAGTCCCCATCCCTGGAGGGGTCTAAGGAAAGGCCGGATGTGGCACTCGGTGCCATGGTCTGGGTGACAAGCTGGTGTTGGGTCACAGGTTGGGCTCAATGATCTCAAAGGTCTTTTTCAGCCCAGCTGGTTCTGTGATTCTGAGTTACCCACATTCAACAGGCAGAGGAAGGGTGGCAGGGTGGGCAGTGCTCACAGACTTTGGGATATGGGGAGTTCCTGTGTCCGTGGAAACAGCTGTGATGTCTCCAGTTGTGAATTGTTTCCTTTTTACCCAGTTGGAACACTAATTGTACCTCTGCTCTCAGACTTCTGCTCAGGAGTGGACACCCACAAAGCCACATTCAGTTGGGTGCATGGAGCAGGGTCACTTCCAAAGGAAGCAGGAGATCCCCCCAGTGCCACGACAGGGGCTGTGCCAGCTCTGCCAACGTCCTCTGCCTGTCCTTCCAGGGGTCGGAGCAGGATACAGCAGGGTGGGAACCCAGGACAGCATCATGATCCGAGTCCCTGACCTGACAGTCCTGGTGCACCTCATCGACATGACCGGACCCTTGGCCATCACCTCGGCCAACCCCAGCGGGGAGGCAGACAGCACCCACCACGACATGGTCATCTCGTGAGTAGCTGGTCACCGGCGGTGCCACCACCTGCTGAAGTGGTGGCAGACCTCAGTTTGATGTCCTGCACCGAGGGGAGCCTCAGCACGAGGTCACAGCAAGGTCCTTGAAGGGTTGTGGCTGTTTCTTTCCCCCACAGGCGCCTTGGCCATAAGCTGGAGGGTGTTCTCTGCGATGGAGAGTCTGACGAGGTGGTGGCGTCCACCGTGGTCAACTGCACGAAGATTGATGAAAGTGAGTGTGAGAACCGCCCTTTGTGTCACCCACTGCGCTTTCCTGGGAGGCTTCCATGCCTTTCCCAGTATCAATCTGGCAGCACAGAGCGCTCCAAGAGTAACAGCTCTTGAGTGCCTGGACATTTGCAAACATGTTGATGAAGAGAAGCAAACAAAAGACGTCCTGGGAGGACCTCAGTGTTGACAGGGAACAAGGCAGGAGGACAAACACGGCTGAGCAAGGAAAATCTGCCTTGTCAGGGTGAAAAGGCTCTGAGTGGGAGGGTGGGGGCTGCTGGAAGGAGGGGTGGGGGCTGCTGGAAAGAGGGGTGGAAGCTGCCTCAGCCCACCACACAGAGGGTGGTACAGGAGCTTGCCCACAGTGATGCAGCAGCACACGCTGAGGTGGCTCTGGGTTGACATTTGAGAGGGGTTGATTAGTGGAAAACCAAACCCTTCAACAAAGTGTGAGGTCAGCGGCTGTTGGTGGTTTCACTTTCTGAGCAGTCTCTCGTCCTTCCACACGACTTTATTTTGAGTGGCTTTGCTGGTGCGAGATATTCTTTTATGCTCCTTTCTGTGCCCCTTTGGGGACTGTCCTGACTTGTTCACTCTCCCTCTGGGAAGGTGGCATCATCATCGTTCGGGAAGGCTGCATCCCAGCAGGAAAAGTCATGCAGATCTTTGAAAGGGCGAAGAGCAGAGTGGTCTGAGCCGAAGGAACCTTCCCTGAGCAAAGGAACAAAGTCTGCTCTCCCTAAAAACATGAGGTGTCCCACGTTTTGCTGGAGCCTTGGGAGAGACATTCCTTCTCTGATCCAGCTCTTACCTCCTCGGGAAGAGCAGCACTTCTTCACTTGAGGCCTCTCCTGGGACCTTCCTGCAGTGATCTCTTGTTTATCCCCAGTAAGTGCCTGGAATCTCCAGGAGAGCTGCCCAGGAGCTGATGCTTTTCCTCAGGAATTCCCAGAGCTCCGGTGTTTCTGAAGTGCATTGGACTGTGAACGCAATGTTTGTGCATCCCCCCCCCCACAACACTCAGATCTGTGTATTTTAAATTTCTAAACCCCACTAAATAAATCCTCTTTTTGGAACATAAGGAAAAGGCTTTGAGTTTTGTTTGATGTCCACCAAGCTCCTCATCCTCCCGAAGGGGCAAAGCTCCATGACTGAACACCAGAGGAAGGAACAAGTACAGGGAGGTGTGATTCTGACAGAGGGTTTACAGCAAATAACTCACCCCATTCCTCCCCTGGCATCTTCCCAGCCACTCCCCAGCTCATCCCGGGGCACTCAGCTCCTTGAAAACGCAAAGGAACATCCATGAACATCCATGGCCAAGCTGGGGGCTGTCGAGGGTTCAGAGCCATGGGTCGGCTCGGGTTGGAAGGGATCTCCTGTCAGGATCATCCCGTTTCCAGCACCTTGCCCCTGGCAGAGTGCTGCTGCCCCAGAGCTGTCCCCACAGCAATCCCCGGGGCTGTCCCCACCCCTGTCCCCAGGACCCGCGTTAGGAGCTGTGGAGGGCCAGAAGTTTCTGCCAAGAGCAGAGAACAGAACCTCCCTCCATCCCAAAGCAAACAAGCCCCAGGGGGAGCCAGGGATGAGGGAATCCACTCGCTAAAAAAGAACCTCAACAAAGGAAACAATGAGTTAGACCCGAAGGCTTCAAAACACTGCGAGGTGCGTGACCGGTTGGAGGTTTTCTGTAATGTTTTTCCCATCCTGGAGGTAGTGTCCAAGAGGGAGACCTCTGCCAGTTCCCTACCGTTGTTCCCTCTCCTCCCTCCTGCTCTGGGCAGGGAGGCCATTCCCCTGGCACAGCCACAGTCCCACCTCCCACCACCCAGGGGATGAGACCCTTCCCTTCTCTTGCTCCTTATCGTTGCTTTGGAGCACCTTGCTCATGGAATTCTCCCTCAGGACACACCCCACCTGCTGCGGGAGCTGGGCAGGAAAATCTGGGAGCCCTGGGGCTGGATTCCTCCTGCTGCTGCGGGAGCTGGGCAGGAAAATCTGGGAGCCCTGGGGCTGGATTCCTCCCACGCCTCGTTGCTGACATGTCAACACCAACTCCTGCCCCGAGCGCGCTCCACTTGCTTTGGCGCTGCCGTTGTTGTCCAGCTGCTGCTGCCATTCCGTTTGCACTCAGAATCCACCATAAATAGCAGCTTTTGCTCCTTCTCCAGGTCACGGCTGTTGTTTCATTCAAGCAGCTCCCCAAACTCCCGGCTAGAGATCCTTGGCAGGCGTTCCTGGGGTGGAACACAGGCTCCCCTTCACCCTGCAGCCTCCTGACCCTGCAAACCCACTCGGGCACAGCTGGGCATTCCCAGCCTCCTGTGGTTTCCCAGCCCGTGCCAGCATCTGGAAGTGGAGCTTAGTCAGGCTCTCCTCCCTGCACATGTCTCAGGACAGCTAAACAACCTGGGCTGGTGGAAGGTGTCCCTGCCTTGGAATGGGATGAGCTTCCAGGTCCCTTCCAAGCCAAACCATTCCATGGTTGTGTGATAAACACTTATTCAATAAATGGAAGTTGAGTGCCAGCTGAGGTTCATCACCACCCAGCAGAGGCTTAACTTCAGGGCATGTGGTGAAGTCCCACAACACGGGACTCCTGTCATGTTTAAATACCTTAATGCTTGAAAAACGACTTGAACTTCCTGAGCAAGTCAGGTTTGTTAATATTGGCTATAAACTGCTGGAACGGAAAAAAAAAACCCACAAAAAAACCCCAAGAAAATAGAAAAGGAGAAAGTCCCTTCTTGGCTTGTGATCTGGGACTGTGTTAGACCATCTCCATGTTGGTGCCATGGGAATTGTCAGCTCCAGGGAAGGATGTGGAGCTCCCCAAGTGCCCCTTCACTGCTCACACTGAACAGCCAGGTCGTGGCAAATCCAGGCAAGGATGGAAAAGTCACCTCTGGAGCTCTGCAGCAGGTAAAGGGTGTCAGCCCTTGAGGAAAGTACTGTGATTACAAATCGGGGTGAAAATAGAAACAGATTCCAACCAGAGCTACAAAAATCCAGAATTTAGGTTATAAGATAAGAAAACACCTGGAGCTTATGGCTTTATTTCAGGCAGAGCCAGGATTAGTGTTTCCTTGTACAAATTACATAAAGAGTCCCTTCCCAGAAGAGCACAATGGTATCAATAAAACGGGCAGCCGAGAACCAGGGGTGTAAAATTTTATGCACTAATTGAGTTTTTATGATTTTATGATTTACTGAATAAGGAAACAAACAGGTTATCTTAGAGGGGAAAAAACCCCCGCAGTCACCATAGTCTGGGCTGCTCACTTTGGTATTCGTGTCTCATGGGTGTTCTGGTGACTCAGGAGTAATTATGGGTCAGAATATTTGCTCTGTACCTGTTTTCCACCATCAGGTGATAAAAATAAGGGGATTTTTAATTGACACAATAAATGGCACAATCATTTTGTTCCAGAAACAAGCTCTCACCTCTCTTTGCTGGAAAGAAGGAAGTAAATTTGATTTTTCAATGTTGCTGCTAAATAAAGCGGAGTAATTCCTTTAAGAAAACATGTTTGGGGGAATCAGAGAACCCTGGAATGGTTTGGGGCAGGAGGGACCTTAAAGATCCCCCCTTTTCCCAATCCCTGCCATGGGACACCTTCCCCTGGACCAGGTTATTTGTGCCTTGCACACACAGCTGGGAATTTCTGACCAACATCACTGGAGATTGTGGAGCAAAGATTTGCTGGTTGAGAGGCCATGATAAATCCCAGATAAACGGCAAGGAATTGATGTTATTGTGAAATGTAATTTGCAGCACTTTAACAAAAAAAGCTTTTTCATAGTAGGGATATACTGGAGATGCTCCATCTCTGGGAGCGTCCAAGGCCAGGTTGGATGGGGCTTGGAGCAACCTGGGATAGTGGAAGGAGTCCCTACCCATGGCAGGAGATGATCTTTAAGTTGCCTTTCAACCCAAATAATTCTGGGGTTCTTTGGTTGTGTTGTTGGCTCTGTTTGAGCCAAACATAGGATGGAATTGGTTACTGGGCTCTGAGCAGTTCCCAGGACCAGCTAGGCTGGAAAATGGCTCAATCCCATCCCCCAGGAGCTTGCTGGGACTTTGACACACAAACCCAGCACAAAAACCCAGCCGGGACCCGGAGCAAGGTCCCCATTGTCACATTCCCGCAATTCTTCCAAAGTAAATTCCCCAGGTCTCCACAGCCCCTGCGAGTTTAGAGGGAAACAAACACACCTCCCTTAGGTCAACAACAGGAGCCTTCCACTCCTTCAGTCGGGCTCTCTGAACACAGGGGCCTTTCATCAGGGCTATTGCTAATTTTTAACGCCTCTCGTTGTGTTTTCCATCCTGCTGCACGCTGGAGAAGGCTCGTTCCCAGTGTGGAAGGCTCATTTCCCAATGGAAACAGCAATGTCAACCAGAGTTAAGGGTAAAGGCTGCAAACCTTGTCATATTTATTCCTAAATCTCTCCTGTGGGTGGTTTTATTAATTTCCACCCCTCTTCTCAGCTTGGTGTTTGCTCCAAAGTGAGCTGAGCTCCAATGAAATCATTTTCGGGGATGGGAACCAGGTTTGGCAGAGAGGGGTAGCCCCTTTTGTGCTCAGGGAGAGGGAAGGAGAGGCAGGGATGGGAGAGGAGGCTTTAGGTAACAGGACATTATTTTATTAATTCTTTTATTAAAAGAAACACGGGTGGAAAATGCTGGTACGAAGCTGCGTGTCCACATTGTCAAGGAATTAAATGGCACCAGTGCCAGTGGTGGTGCTGGGCATTCCATCTGTGCTCCAGGAGATTGTGAAGGGAATATTGAGCAGTGACCATCAAGCCCTCCATGGCCAGGCCTGTTCTGGGACCAAGGGACCAATGCCTGGGGGTGACAGCACGTTTGGGCACCCCCAGGGCTCCTGTGCCTCTGAGGTGGCTCCTTTCTCAGGAAAGCAGGATTTGGCCAGCTCAGCTTCCCAGAAAACTGCACTTCCATCTCTGCCTCAGCACAGAGAACCATCCTCCTGCCTCTCTGATGGCAGCTTTGACCAACTCATGATTCAGACTAAAAACAAGAGAGTTCTTCCTAGGCCAGAAGTTGGTGACACCCTTCCCGGAGCTGCCCCACATCAAGGCCATTGCAGTCTGGTTTCGGTTCTGCCCTGCCCATACCCGTCTCCTTCCTTCTTGGGAATATTTTCACAAAGAAGTCTATTTGCCAGATAATTTTATGAGGCAGGACAATGCATCTTCCTGGTGGCAGTTAGGTCACAGCTAGGTGAATTTGCATTTTATTAATTTCGATGTTATTTTGGGCAGAGTTGGAGGAAAAAACAAGCTGTGAAGGCATGTACACAACCAACTCCTACCCTTCCATTAGGCATCTCACTCCCTCAACAGACAGGAGGAATTGTTCTGGGCAAAAAACGCTCAGAAAGTTCAAAAATCTCCAGAATCTGTAGCACCACAGACAAGGCAACCTCAAGGGATCCACACGCTGCTGTGCAAAACCCATTTCAGCAATCCCAAAACTCCAGACTGGTTTGGGTTGGGAGGGACCTTAAATCCCATCTCATTCCACTCTCATGGGCAGGGGCAGCTCCACCAGGCCGGGCTTCTCAGTTATGAACCCTCCAAAATGCTGTTTCACATTAAGGTTTAGCAATGAAGAGAGCTGGACAAGGCCTCCACCTTCCCTTGACTCACATCTCAGGCCCTTGAGAGCGAGACCTTGGAAGTGAGATGGAGAACGGGATCACCATTAAATGCCTGTGGAAAGCCCAGCTCAGCTCCTCCTGTGGCCAAGGAGCCTGTATCCCATGGCCCAGGAGTCATGGAACCATGGACTCATTGAGGTTGGTAAGATCACCAGTCCAACCATTTGGACTCGGTTTCTTCACTCCCAAAACTTCAGCGAGCTTCCACATCTGCTCCTTCCTTATCCCTCCCTCTTTCCTCACTTGCCATTTCTAATTCCTGCTCTTCCAACTAGGACTCGGCTGGTTTTGCAAGGGAAGGAGGGCCTGGAGCGATTGTAGGGTTGGGAAG